GTTTCTATATACGAATTATGTTATAGCCTTCGCAAGTTCTAAAAAGTTGGGAGTTCTTTTTTATTCTTCTAAAAATTTGGCTTGCTATTAGAAACTAGCTATCGAACATAGTGCTCTTCCATGACTGTTTTAGTAGGTACTTGATGATAATAATTCGTAAAATATGGAAACTAGCCAAGTCAGACTTTAGGCTTCAAAACATTATCCTAAGAGATAAGAAGAAATTATATTTCATGTTGTTATAAATAAATTTCAGGGCTGACCATTGAACTTGGCATCCATTTAGATCTCACTTCTTTTGTCGTTGAAGTCAACAATCAAAGCATATATTACATAATTGAACTTGGCTATCATTTTACATATATGTTTTGTTGGGATTTAAAATTATACAGCACGATATCAATCGACGTACCTCTATATAGTGCGCAAATCTGTAGAAAGCTCTATTATATATGGTATTTGGAGGGGAAAAACTGATCTGATTAAAAATAAATAAATAATATAAACTGCAAAATTCGCGCTGACGTTTGCGTGATTATTTGAATTAATATAATTATAAATACATTCACGTGCATCCATAAAAAAAAAACCTTCGATAAGGTGTATAATATGATATACCAGCTACCTACGGGATCATCCTTTTAACGCAAGACACTCAGAAAACATTAACGTTTTTGAAAATATTTCTTTTCAATAATTTTTAGTAGTTATACCTAGGTGCAAAAGAACGTTTTTGGAAAAAATTATATTTTTATCGTAAAGTTTTTTTAGCTCATACTCTTTTGAAGGTCAGCATACAATAATTTTAATTTCATACCCCAAACAAAATATTATTCAGAGTATTTCGATTTATAAAAAATAAAATTTCAGACATGTAGTTTATAATATATTACCTACTATAGGTAGTAGTGGACCATTAGCTGTGAAAAAAAATATATATAATTGAACCTTAAACAGTTTTTAAAATAATGAGTGTAATCTTGCATAAAATGGATTACCCGGTAGCAAGGCTGGGCAAGTTAATGATTTTTTTAGTTATGTTAAGTAATATGCACCGATAAAAAAAATTTAAAAGTTAATTTAATTATAGGTTGACTCAGTTAAGTTAAAAGTTAATACACACTTTTCGTTAAGTTTTTTTTTAAGTTAAAACAAAAGTTAGTTTATTTATACAACGCTATAGAGTACTTAATTTTTTAGTAAATTATAATATTTATTTGAGAACTGATCAAGCCCAATATTACGGATCATCACTTTAAAACTAAATTACATAGGTAAGTATCGGTATAATAGTAAAAACAGTAACACGCATTAGGCATAACATAAGGATAATCATATACAGTCATTCTCATAATATTATTATTGAAGTGACTGCAGGGTTAGTCGGGTCTGTCTAACCAGAATAGGAATAATGATGGATCTTCGTTCTCTATAATCTCATCATTCACTTAGAGTAGGACTGTCAAATAAATAATTCGCTGAACAAAAAGGATCTGGAATGGGGAAAGCACTTCGAGAATTAAAAACCGAGAAAACCACATTTACGACGATACGAACGGTTTGGAAAAACTGTGATATTGAACTCGTCCATCGGCCACATTGGCCAAATTCTGGTGACGAAGGGACTGGATTGCAGTCGTGGCGGACAATCAATCGATCGATGGCCTGAATGAGGGGACACTTGAGAGGACGTCACACCCGCATATTATGTTGTCTCCGCCTTATAGGTACGATGTAGACAAAACTCGTGTATTCATAAATCGCTCAATTTTATGGTTCTAGAGTAAAAATACCTATTATAAAATCGAATCGTGACAATATTTCTGAGGGCAAGTCGTTGCGTTTTTTTCCACTATAACCAATATAACGGTTCATTATGTCGTTTGGAAAAAGCAAAAATTTGAAAATTTTTAAAATGCCTTTGACTTTTTGAAAATTAAAATTTTTTAAAAAAAACTCGACGTCTGGCCCTTCAAAAAATATTGTCATCTCTTAATTTTGTAATAGCTGTTTATTCGTTCTAACACCATAATCGACCGAGCTCTACTCAGACTGTGTAAACCTGTTTTGTCCATGTCGTACGTGTGTAAGACGGAGACAACACAACATGTGACGTCCGAAACTTCGAACGTTGGACAAGTTCCAGTTGGTAGGTGTCGCTCACTGGCAGTGTTGGGTTCAAAAAATACAGCTCAAGCACGGAACGCGCACAAATTGACAACAATATGAACTTTTAGGGAACCGGACAGCAGCTCGTCGGTTTCAAAAAACCACTCGTCTTCCGTTTTACGAAAGTATATTATCATAACGATTACCTATTACTATATTATGTTATCGGAATGCGCGGTTCCGGTGCACTGCACTTCCGCACACATACACACTCAAACAATAAACAATAACTAAAAGTGCATTATATATTTAATAATAATATATACGTACGATGCATTATCTATTGTACGACGCGTATTATATGTATATATACATCGAATCACTCAAACGATAGTATTTTACACGGACATGATTATACTGTGTGTATACGGGGGGAAAGAAGACGACGTGCTTGACGCGGTCGAGCGCTTTTTTCCCAAGTACTCTCCGCTCTTGACCCGAGGACTAACTTGTAGAAACTTAACGTTTTAAATGGGGAAACAATGGGATGCAAAACAATATTGGCGTTACTGCACTCACGCGCACACACACGCGCGCACGGTGTAGCCATATCCTATATATATACATATACAGGAGCAGCTCCTCTCGACTTCCGACGAAAATGGGTCAGCGTATACGTTTGTCGATATAATAGTAATAATAATAATAATAATAATACTATAATATTGTTGTATAAAATAATATATATCTGTACAAACAGACTCGGTGGCGTCGTTATTGCTGGACGCCGCCGTGAAAGTGCATTTGCGCCCAGTTTTAGTTACGAATTATATGCATATACATAATAATAATATATAATACGGTGCGATCCATTGTTTACGTATAATACACTCATCGCTTCGGAGTATACACTAACGTTTTTAAAAAATATTTCTTCTACATATAATGTTAAGTATCATTATACGAAACAACGAGTTTGAAAAAAAAAATTATATTTTTAACTGTTTTTTTATCGCTATCGTTTTTCTCAAGTTTTGTACGAAAAATACGGTTAATAAAGTATACTATATTTTGAGAACATTTTTAACTTCATATTCCGAAGCCGAATAATATTCAGAGTATATTTTGATTTATAATAGCCCATTTCGGACAAGTTTAGGTACCTACCTAGTTTATTAGTTATAACTATTAAAACTTATAAGTATTTAAAGTACCTATCAATACTGCAGGAGTAGTAGACCAACATTTTGTGTACCACTACGGCTACGGTACGGTAAACTTTAAACGATGTTATAATTTATATAATAGCCCTAGTTATAACTCATTAACTACTCGTTGGAAATTTTATTTCATTCCATATTGGAGTATTCCAAAAAAACATTCCGTTTTCAGTTTTGGAACGAGGAACTCAAAATGCAAGTTGTCATTAAAAAAAGTAAAATATTTAAAATGATAACTATAATTTTATAAGGTATGAGTAATTACTTAATATTATGCTGTCTTAACGATATAGGATACCCCTGCAGTTTGTTTCCGGGCTACAAAATGAGTTTTAATAGGTACTCGTGTAAAAACAAACATAGATTATGGTTTCGATCTTGGTGAATAAATTGTTTTGTCTCCCCCCATCCATCAGTTTTTTACCCAGTTATGACACTGCATTAGTATTTTAAAACATTGTATTGTTATCAGCTGTGTTTGATGATTTAAGTGCAGTATATACCCTTAAAAACTGTTACGATACACACTGTATCGTTTGGAATTTTCCATGTCGTAGATAAAAAAAAAAAACAATTTTGTTAGTTCAAAATATGTATTGGGTAAATATATAACATAATAATCAATGTCTATAAAATATACATATAGTTACGGTATAATAATTCTGTATAAAAATTTATAATACAAAAATATATATATATAATATTATAATATGTACATTCAAAAAAGTAAAAAATACGATTTCAACAAACAATTAATCAACAAAAAAAAAGTGTTTTTAATAGTGAGTGCCTACTTTAAAAAATAATAAATCGTCTTATTTGGTCTATGTTAGATAACAATACATCGTACAACGGAAATAAATATCTGTTGTTTATCGATTATTTTGGAATAATAAAAAAGTTCTTTTAAAAAAGTAATCATTATTAATTCAAGTACCTACATATATATACATTACACTATTATTCCGATATTCTTGAGTACTAAAAGTTAGTGGGTATATTGAGGACAGAATTTATGTTTATTTTTAAAAATTCTAAAGAAACCGACCGTTTCATGTCTTATAACCATCGATTATATTTTATTAGACATTTTAATACTTCCTCGTTGGCTATGGCTCCATCCATCGTCCGCACATGGCACATTAATCCAAAATTAGTGGGGATTACGTTTTGAATAAACCCATACCCCCGCCTGTTTTCTAACGCAATATTTGGATGACCCCAAGGTAGAGATATATAATAAACATTTTATATAATACTACACGATAATAATATAGCAGACGGATGGTAGTACGATGGAATTTAGGAGGAATAACGCATAAAGACATCTTATGGTATACGTATTGCCTATGCAGTCCATATATCGTATGTGTGCTCATATTATTATTGTGAATTATTAATTAAAACGTTCTTTATCGGCGGTACAATTAATGAAAATATCGATTTAAAGAATATCATCGAAAATTCTAAATTCCTAACAACAATGACAATTTATAATATTATAACCACTCATCGTGGTAAACTTATCTACACGAAATATTATAATAATGTATAAAATAGAAAAAAAAACAAAACCCCGAATTAAAAAATTATGTGATATTATAACGCATACCAGATAATACCTACCATATAAATATTATTATTCTAATATAATTGTTGACATGCCGCCGACTAGAGGACTTGGAGGTTTTCACAGTTTTTCGTTTTCGTGTCCTCCTTGCCAAACACCCACGTGAACATCTGTCTGGCTTTGAGGCTGGCTTTTATAAAGTTTCGGTTTTTGTACCAATGGTCGTGTCCCTCACCACTGTCAGCCCGTTTGAGTCTGATCTGCGTGAGGATGCCCACCAGCAACTCGTCGACGTTGTGATTGATGCCCACCGACACTTCAATGTACTTGGCTCTGCACGTGCACGCCAAGTATCTACCCTCTGTACGAAAAACGAAAAACATTTATCTATTGTTATTATACCATGATAATATTATCGTTTCAAAACAATGAAAAAAATAACGAATAATCGATATCCTAATAAATCGCATCACGAAAACATATTATTATTACTATCGTAATTTCGATTTCTATTATAGAGTTCCTCATAACCATTCATCGAGTGAACAATCGTTATTTTGAAAATCAATAGACTTTTTTTTAAATATTTTTTTTTTTGTTGTTTAGAACCTATATACTTTTAATTTCTGAATGTTTGGAATTTTTTCGAACATTTTTTTTGGATAGGTTTAAGACAATCGTTATTTTTTTAACGCTTAGGGTGGGTTGATTTTTGCGATTGCTGGCTGTTGTAAATTTTAAACTTTAAAGTTACTATCATAGTATTATTTACTATTTATGACTGTAGGATTGCAGAAGCAGATATTGTTGTTTATAATAATATATATAACTTTTCAAAGGTATTGAATATTTTTTTATGAGTAAGTTTCTTAGTTCACATAATCCGTTTTTTGAAATTTTCAAAACATAAGATTAAAAATTGTTAAGTTATAACTCTCGATTAAGACAATCCCATTATACTTATGTCTATTTGTAATTTGGACCTGTCAAATCCAATATCTAAGGTTTTGTTCACATTTAATAGGTACGTGACTTTTGTAACATTTAATTGATTCCATGAGCCATACCAGGCTGTATAGGCGCCAGTTTTTTAATAGACTTGAAGAGACGATATTTTGGAATTTTTAAGAATAATGAAAAATTAACGAATTGCTACTATAGTCACTTATGCCCGTAATTACTATTGATGTGACACATACTAACATAATTGTAAAGAAAATGTTTAGTGCCAACCAAAATCATCACTCGGCAGTTTACCAAATTTAAATAGTAAATATAACTTTATCGGTGATGTTGCGTGTCTTAATTTTTTCAATAATAATATAAAAACTTGACAAATTTTTATTGGTAATAACTCAAAAAACATTAAAACCAAAAACACGTTTACAACTTGATTGTTTTAAACGTGAAAACAAGTTTTCTAATTTATTATTATATTAACGTGTAATTTCCATTTTGAATATGTTTAATCAAAATTATCATTATTAATATCGTATGGGTATATCTAACGCGAATTCGTTCGTTTCACTCAACACCAATTTTTATCGAATGTAGTACTAAACCACGCATAAATTGCAATGAAATATTAAAATATCATTAGGAATATTATATGAATAAAATGTTATAAATGCACAGTTGCATAGTCTAAGAATAAAAAGGGGGTGAACATATCAAATAGACTGATCGAAAGTAGATATGTATCAATTAGGGTTGGAGAGGTTAGCTGTTTATGTACCGAATGACGTGCTATGTAAGTACGATTTTCACGCATTCGTGACAGAGACGTCGCAGTTAATCGCGCTTGAGATTATATAGGTTATAGGTACCTAATGCCTAATAATATAGTAATAACCTAAATTAATATAATATTATTATTATAATAATGTATTATACTATTATAATACCGTTGGGTGCATATCGATTTCTTTTGTTTTGGGTCGCCGCCGTGCGTATAGATTTTAATTGTTCCACAAATCTCATCGCTTTGGCAATTATAATAATTAACGGTGCGCGAGGCCTTTGCGTATAATATAATATTCTGTAATTATTACTGTTGTTATCGTTATTATTAAACTATCTATTCAGTATCATAATATTCGATTATATTATATTGTTGTTCCGACTCAGGCGTAACGGTATCGTTGACGTTCCTTTTAAATAAGGTAGGTACTTAATGCGAATTCAGCTATACTACTCGGCCGTTCTTGTTGGGAACAGTAGGTAAGCAACCCGATAAAACCACGTCTATACCACGTAGATCGCGGTTTTAACAATAACACACTGTGCCACAGAAGTCAAGTAACGCAAGTCATAATAATAGCAAATTTTACAGGAGAGACGTCGCATGTTTTTCTCAATGGACTTACGATTGTGTACTTCAAAAACATTATTTTGTACTACTTTTCTTGTGACGTATCAAGCTGGATATTATATTATGTGTCAATACTCCTACCAAAGTTTAATACTTGAGTTATTATTATTACTGCTATTACTATCTATGAATTTATTGTAAATTCGATTTACGTTTCAATACCTTTAAAATGAGCCCAAAGAGGATATTCTAACGTATGGAACTAACTCGATATTTAAAAAAATGTACTAACGTTACATACTTTACTTCTGTGGTACAGCACTGTATAATATAAGCACAAATATAGCTTAGATTTTTGTTTATCGAAACTTAGAAACAAAACAACTATAATAGACAGAATAAGTGTGGCTGCGGTAGAATGGATTAGGTACCCCTAACGTGACGCCAATGACCGTGTCTGAAACTCCTCAACGTCGTTAGCTCTCGATTTAACGATGAGAGGCCTTTTATAAATTCTGATTGGAGTGGTGTATGCACTAGTTTTATAATGATAATATGTATGTGTATGACAATTTTTGTTGCTGTATTATACTGCAGTTTTTATAGAGGGTAAATGCTTCGATCTTTAACTTCACAGGTTGGATACATGAAGCAATATCTATCAAGTTGGTATTTATTTATTTTTTGAGTGGTGGAGGAGAGGGAAAAAGAAATTCTTTTAAAAATAATTGAGATGAGAAAAAAATAATCGGAGAACTTGCTCTGCTGTATAGTAGTTGTCGAGGGACAGAGTACCTACTTCTGAAATTGAGTAGGTCTCTGTAATTAGTAATGGATGTGTTAAATTTGAATTCAATGATAATAATCATTCCATACGAAAAATATTGTTAGCGAAGACTGTCTGTTAGACTTTATCTTATTACATATTATATTTTATATTACTATGTAATAATTTATTTTACTGTTACCTAGTTAAGCACTTATTTTATAGGTTTAAATAATTGTTGATGAAAACATCGCATATATTATTAATTAATTATTTATTATAATAGGTACCTAATACATTTTTAAATCATATAAATATAATATAGGGGATGTACTGTTAATAGTACAGCATAATTAGGTTATTAACAGGATACAATCAATCGAAATATTTTCACTGTGTAAAGTAAAATATATTTATATACTTGAAAATGTCAAGTCTACATGAATAAAACAAAATAACTAAAATCGTTTGTCAAGGTTCACCGATACACTTGATATCGACTATAATACAGCGGAGCGTATTCATATGTTTTTTTTTCGTCTACAACAAACGGTATTCGGAGGAGATGTAGGTGGTTATCTCTTCCAAAATGACTTCTGATGTTTTGAACGCATATAATATTATTTATTTGGGCTATGAACAATACATCGTTGGTGGATGCGGGATGTACACAATTATATGTATAGGCATTGCCTATTATTATCAATTGGCTATTATATGGCACGTTGGCCATTTTTTAGAACAACTCAGTTGATGGGGGTGGCAATAGACAGCGAAATAGTATATTGTGTGGCAAGGGCGGGAAGAGTGAGGTATCAGACAAGCCCCGGACGAGGGCAGCATTTCACACAAAACTGAAATTGGACTGCCGTCTGCCACACATACTATTTTTTTTGTCACGACTCTGCTCTCATCGATCACGCCAACACGGCAAAGGTAATGAAGGCTGAGATCTATATATGCAACTACTATTCTACATTTATACGGAAACAATATTTCATGAAAGACACGATTTTATTTTATTTATTTTAAGCGTCATGCATCATGGAGTTTATAATATGAATATAAGATGTAACCAAAAGTTCATGTTTTGTAAGCACCGTGGTATAGATTTTAGGGTCTAGTTGTGCAAAAGATAAGCGTGATATGTGCTCTCAGTACTTTTGGGGATTTCCATTTTACCACCCCGCACTTTAAAGGATTTCCAATTTACCACCCGACACTACGGGGATTCTCACTTTACCGCCCGCTGGACGGAAAAAGGTCATTTTCCAACACTTCAACCGTCATCGAAAACTAGACTTTTAGTGCACGTGCAGGGTGACAAAAAAGCGTTTTCGATTCGATATTGCTATAAAAAAGTCTGAGTAAATATGATATTTAATGATAATAATAAAAAAAACACAATTTCTCGTCCGGATGTTTTCGTAGCGTCCTTGTTATACGAACTTGTAAGATTTTATGTATCCATCTTATTCGTTTCAAAAGGTAAACAATAATACGCTATAAAAAACCATTTTTTAATCGTGAAACTTTTGCTCCGTGTAAACAATTAGTTTTAGACTGTATGAAAATAAATTTGCGAATCACGCTTTAGCATCTAGAAATAAAACAAACAGACTATAAAAACATAAATGGCTTCCGAAGTAGGTACTATTTATTTTTTGAAAGTTTAGGGTATCTATGATTTTTTAACTTCTTATCATAGTGGTCATATAAGAGTAAATATTTCATTTTTGCATCAATGTTTTATATTCGACCATCCCCAAACAAGCATCTAAAGTCTAAACCTTACAAACGATTCTATACAAATGTATACACCTTGTTAATATTCTTTGATTTTCAATCCAACATCTTTTTATCTAATATGTAAATACTATCTGTCAAGTTATTAGTTAATATACATATTCTATAAGGAACTAAGCATGCATATTTTCCCAGTAGAGTAAAAATATAATTGGATATTTTCTCGAACAATAATATGTCACATCGATGAAAGTAGGTATAATCATTATAACATTATGTCACTTTATGTTATATTATAATGATTATACCTACTTTCATCAATATTATCTATTGGCTATTGGCTTGTATTAGGTATATATAGATTATAAGTATTTCTAATTCTAATACCCGAAATAAAATACATTAAAGAATATATTTATTTATTTATTATCAACTTGACGCAGTACACGATTGTTCATCGTAAATAAATTTGCAAGTACCTACCTAAGTAACCAATATACTGTACAGTTGTAGGTTTCGAGTGTACATCGATATTGAGTCGATATATCGATAACCATTGACCATTGTACACGAAAAACAATTCTGAGCGGAGAAGCTCTTTTCAGTCTTTATTAGTATCAAATATATTATGTTTCATTGCCTAACTCTATGCTTATAGTGCTAATTATTGTGGTAAGTTAAATTCATTTTCGATAAAAATATTGCATTTATTGTATTATTAAGTATTATAATTCTATATCATATATTCATATTTGTATCATTATATAACATTATTGTTATTAACTTTTGAATCATATCGACTTACCGTAAAGCGGTACCCTATGAATAGGTGTGTGATATAAATAGGCAATAGCTTAAAATGTTTAAAAATGTCATTGTGTATAGTGAAATATAGAAATATACGTATGAATAAAACCTTTCTTGTGGTAGGTATTGTGAAACATTTTTGATGTGTCTCACGAATAGGAGAAAATACATTGGCGTTAGACGGACACAAATTGTGTAATGAAAGAATCTAGGACATTTCCTCGCTATGCTCCCTGTCACCATACCTTAGACTGACGTTTATGAAGTTTTTTTTTTACGAAACTCTTCCATTAGTTGTGAAGATGCCGGCATTATTATTATACCATTAACAATGGTATATTATCCTAATATTTAAAACAATTTTAGACTTAGAATTATAGTTGATAATCGATGATGTTTTTAGATAAGAAATATATACCTCCCACCATATTGATTTATCACAGAACGAGGATTTTATATCTGAACACTTTCGGTAAGAAACTACATTAATATAACTTTACTGTAATCCCTCTCTTTCTCGGTGACTCGACAAACCTATACAATACAATACGCGATTACTGAAATGCGCGCACTTGAATATTGTGTGTGCGTACAATTACTAAATAATAGTAAGCCCCATATTATTATATAGTGTATTGTTGTTATTATTAAGAGGCGAGCCTTGGACACTGTCTCGATTGTTGTCCACAGAAATAATGTATATTCTCGAATCTCAAGTATTATTTTCATTTTTAATAATGTTGGTTTCAATAATGGACTTTTATACCTATATATATATAGTGTACACTGTGTACATATATCCTCTAAACGATGGTATTAAATATATGGGGTGATACGTTTTAAGACACTACACGTCTACACTACATTTTTATGTCAATATTATGTTGTTATAAAAAAACCTATTTTACACAATACTATGTTTAATAGTTTGAAATACTTAAAATAATTTTCGTGAACGTCTGTAGTCGGCGCACATACAGATGTATTTTTATTATACATCCTCCACCCGAGTTTTTTCTAGTCTATAAAAGTAGGTTGTGCTATATTATAAAACTAATGGATTTTAAGAAAAAAAATTAAACAATTGATCGAATTACATTTGTATTGACAATTATTTTACTTACAAGATTCTATAACAAATGCAGTTTGTATTGGATACAACATTATCCATATATCAACTGGATATACTTGATAAGTCATTTTCTGAAGTTTAGGAACACTAGTGTTTAAGCCCAAATATTCCTTGGGGGTGTCGTGGGGGAGGCAGAGTGAACAAAAAATATTTTATCTCTATCATAGATTCTAAATTCGTGAATTGAGTGTTCATATTAAAATGTACATCATGCAAAGCGGGGGGGGGCATGGACTCATTGGCCCCTCTCGCTACGGGTGGACTTTATCGTGCAGTCATCTCATTTGAAATGACACGATGACTGATTGTTGACAAAAAAATGTCTCTATTGCACGGTGTGTCTATATTGGACCAAAACTTGATAACGTTTGAAACTGCATTGGTCTACCAACAGAACTTGGCCTATCCATTTATTCCCACCCATCAACGAGTAACACCTGATCCAAATCCATCTGTATATTATAGAGCACTCTGTATAATATATTATAAGGTATGTAATATAATAAGCGTACCTTGAGCCGTCACTTCTCTGCTCCTGGCCATGTCGACTTTGTTGCCGACCAATATGGCTGGTCTCGATCGTAACATTTCGTGTTCACGGAGGTTCTTCAGAATCGTCTCGGCAGTTTCGAAACTGTTTTTGTCCACCACTGAAAATAACACCAGGTACGCATCTGCGGGTTTGCTCCCGGCCACTCGGTCTTCCTTTGTCTATACAAAATAATTGCATAATTGTATAATAATACACATTATTATAAGCTTTATGATTTTTGATGAACCGTGATTAATTAATTTTACAGTTCCACATGTTATTAGAATAAAAACAACTAGTCAAACGACTAACAATTTCACAATCTAATACACACAAATCATTTGCAAATAAAACCACGGGTAACAATATACTAAAGGGAAACCAATAGTATTGTCTCCGAAAGTTTTAGTAGCTACTTCTAATTATAGATATGCTTATGATTAATTAATAATATAATATATTATATGGCATATTGTGCATGACGATTGACGGCTATATCGACTATAGTAAAACACATTAAGTAGATTTATTAGGATTGGCGCAAATTCAAATTTTGTTCTGGGCAACTTATAAGAAATTCTCCCTCCCCTAAATGTCGCTCGTGGCTACAGCTACAGTGATGTTTACCCGCAGATAATACGTGCATATAGAAGTAACTTTGGGTGTCATAATTAAACATCATTGCAGGTCGATCGTGTATAGTACGTGGACAACTCTGACACCCATATTTATTTTATTTATTTATTTAAGAAGATAATGAATAAGTTCATGTGTGAGTGTGTAACCCATGAATTTAAAAATACAATCAAATACGTAATTGCATGTTAAGCCTTAAAATTACAAGGGAAGTACATAAACAATAAATTATGGAATTAATTATACAAAATATAATTTAATAAATACTATACCTAACATAACTAAAATTATAACATTAGAAAAACAAGTAAAAAAATATTCTGTAAAACAACGAGATATTATTTATTACATAATATCTATTAATATATTATTTTTATTGTTTTTTCAGAAGTAAAAATGAAATTTTGTTTTTAAAAATCTTGGGAGAATTACAATTTTTAACGTCGAAGTTTTGCATATTATAAAATATTTTTTGAACCTTTACTTAACATTCGGATTATAGATACATTGTAGATACTCATTATAGATACATTTATCATCAATACCGTTCATAAATGTATTAAAATAATAAATAAAAATCGTCTTACCGAAACTTCTCCTTCATTGATAAACCTCAATTCAGATTCTTCACCGTTCAACATTATGCACACCGACTGCACTGACGACTCATAGTTGTCTAAAATAAGTTATAACACATACGATTTAAGGTTATTAATTTATTATTATTTATATTATATCCTATAGGTGTATTCTCCGGCGTTTCATACCCGGGACAAATGAAACCGAGATGGGAAATTTACCAGCGTTGAATAGTAATAAATATGTAACTTTTTATTCTTACTTGAATCAATTCCGAACAAAAATAAGTGGTAAATATGTGGTTATGATTTAAATAACAGAGGGTAAGCCACCCCAATAAAACAGGTTAAATCTATTATCCAAAGTTTAGATTTAATCATTTGGATTGTAAATCTTCCATGAATCGTCAAGTCGAGTATTTTTTGATTCTATAAATCTCAGAAATACACTTCACCTCTACTATAATATACTAATACCTATGTAACTATATTATATTATACTCGTATAATAGCTTTTACTCAATTCTATATTTATAAATTATAGAATCGCTTTAATAGCCTAAATTACAATATTAAGCAATACAATACAGACAATTATATCCAATAATAATTACAATTTTATTATGTGTAACCAAAGCCCACAATATATATTATTAGTAAATACAAAAATATTTTTAGTTAGCTGAAACCATATTTGTGTGTGAGCCAATAGAAATAGTAATTACACGATCTAAACAGATGCACAAACTAGCTATATATAAGTAGGTAAAAAAATATTATAATATAGTATTAATATAGCTTTGGTGTGATATATAACAACGCCTGTGGGTGGAGTAAAATGCATTTTTATAATTCGGCCTGACCAGTTAGAATATTTGTCTCGACTAGCTTTTAAAAATTGTCGGTTTTTTCAAAAATTCCGAAATCACGGCCCCACTGTAAATCATAATAAAATATGATATATTATAATACAGCAATAATAATAGATGGTCATAAACGTTGCATGCAAATATTATGATACTGCAGTCGCGTCATTGGTCTGGTCGGAAATACAATGTCGAAACTCAAAATGCGGGTTGTCGCCGAAGAGCCTGGCAACTTATCGTTGTCGATAATTTATGATAGTAGTAGACAGTATACTTATCGTATTTGTAGTAGTTGAAGTAGTGGTAGTAATAGAAGTATTAGTTGTACACTGTAGTAGTTATAGTGACAGTGCTCTATCGCCAATGGGTTTGTCGTAACGACGCGGAATTGTCGGGAAAATGGTTTGAAATGTTTGAATGCCGTTTATCGGAGAATAGGTCGTCTTGGCTTCGGTGGCATTGTCACCATCACCAAGGCAAATGCCAAATATAATACAATAATTATGACAACAATAAAGGCTATAATAATTGTTACCATAATTACCTACATTATATTATATTATTATATAGCTATACGACTGTTATAACTGTTATAGTGTTATATTGTCATTTAACAACTCTATGTGAATGGTCCAGGGTTGGGAAAATAAGGAAATTGTCCTCAAAGAATGAAAGAAATATCTCGAGAACGATGTATTTTAGGAAATCATTGTTGCATATTGATTTTTAAACTACCTACCACAAGAGCAACTGCATAATCGAAATAATTATTGCTATATGTTTCCAGGTAAAATTTAGTTTATCTTTAATTTTCCAAAAATAAAATGTTCAAAAAAGCTAATACAATTCATACAATATAGAATAATAGTCCTATAATATCTTGCATATTTGCATCGAATGCAGTTGCAATGGCTGTGCGTTCCGTTTACTAGGTAATTTTGAGTGATTTTGGAGAGAAACAATTATTTCTAGAAGCATTATAGGTACTTGCATGCAAATAAAATACTGAATTGTTATTAATTTTATTCTTTTCAATATCGAAGCAATAATTTCATTTTACTTTAAGTTTTATAAACGGTAAGTGAAGTGCGGCATAGCGAAGGATACACTTCAAACTATAGTAATACGTTCTATAGTTCAAGACTTCTCGTTGTAATTCAATACAAAACTATTCGTTCAATATGCGACGTTTATATATCAACCTCTTTCATTGAAAGTATAAAATATATTATATTCTGTTTTAGAATTTAGAATTATGGGTCTCTATTTACAAAATTAACACCCTGAAAATTATTTCTCTGAAGAAAAATAATAAAAAACCTAATTTTTTACACAACTTAATTTATTTTTGAAAAGGCAAAGTGTTTAAAGTACCTACTTAAAATTATTAAAAATAATAAAAAAACGAGTGTCACTTTTTAAATGAATCACTCGGATAACTCGTAAATGTATTATACTTAGAGGTGAGGACGACATCGTGAGAATAGCCGATAAAAATTTGTATAAACCATAAAATATTATATTATAATTAATAAATATAAATGAATATATTATAAGGGAAAACATCGACCAACCTCTTTGCCTCTCATAGGCGTTAATGTATTCTGAAGTCATAAACTGACTTATGAGAGTGGTCTTGCCCACTCCTCTTGATCCCATCAGTGACACCGTGTGCGAAGTTATGTCGTCCCCGCATTCGTTTTGCCGGTGTTGTTGCTCTTGCTGATTCTGAAACTGCTGCTGTTGTTGAACCTGCTGGCTATTATTGTCGTACGGGATCGGGGGCGTGCATTCCTTGGGGTCGTCTTCTCGGGCCAGGCTGTTGCTCCTCGACCGGCGTTTCCGAAACGAATCTCCTCTGTTCACAATACCTGTCGTTTTATAGTATTTTTAGAAAAAAAAATTTGTATTTACATAAAAAAAAATACAGGCAGGTTGCCTTAACATAAAACAGTGCATTTCAACGTTTGAGCATTGTTGTTTGTTTCAAAACGTATGGCTATTATATATACAACATGTTAATATTATTTACGAAAACGTTATGCAATTTCAATACATTTTTTTTTAAACTTTTGTCCTTATCATTTATTCCACCCTTATGGGCTGTGGGTGAAACTACAATCGGATTTTGATTTATTTTTTTAAATTCATAATATAAAGCGAATTAAGTTTTAAAAATTTAGTTTGATTTTTCTTAAAAATTCTTTTAAAATACTAATTTAAACCACTCACTAATTATGATAATATGAATAATTTTCTACCAATTGTTTTTGTTTTAGAAACTTTAACTTAAATTTTTATATAACTGACCTAATTTTGTATAATATATACCAACAACGGGATATCACGTGGTATCTCAAAAAAGTTTAATTCGATACAGTTTTTCTTTTAGCCACAATCGGTTCATTAACACTATGATAATTTCCTATATAGTTTTCTTGTTAATGTGTAAACAGTGTAGTACACTACTTCTTATACTGGGTGGTGTGTTCAACTCACCTTTCGACGTAAAACTAAACGACCTAAGCCTGTACGAGTTTTCGGGATCTTCGGGTTCCGTGAGTTTTTTGTTTTCACCCGGCGGAACGTCTAAGAACGCTCCTGATTTCCTATGGTTCGAGTTGACTTTCCTGGAAGATGGTTTCCGTTTGAACGCCATTCCGTCTGCAAAAGGGGAACTTTATTTATAAAACGATTTATATACTCACCGAAGAGAAATATAACGCACTCACTCACGCGCACTCGCATGTGTGTATATAAAAATATGAATGATAAATAATAAAACCCTAGTCGGAAACGGATCAATGGCGAGGCGCTTTGCCAAAGGGCCACTCCAGACACGCTTCTATATATAAATCCATGAACCGACGATCCTTTGTCAATGGCGATGGGCTGCGAGCCGTGTACGCATATACCACGGCTCGAGTTATCGCATATTATATATATGTACACGATTCGGTCTTTCCGCGAGAGACGGCAGACGGAGCGAGACGGACACATTTTACACACATGCTATACGTGTCTTCACATATTATTTATTATAACAAATGTAAAATGTAGATGTTTGTGTGTGCACAGAGATTGCTGCGATTGAAGAGAAGTCCGGAAATCCGTTTTAAAAGCGTTGTAAAAACGTGTCGTTGCCAAACCATACAGTATCTATTTTCAAGTCTACACGTTCTATTATTATTATTATTATTATTTTTGTTTTTATTCGTCAAAACATAATCGAATTCATATTGAAATATTCGATACGGATCGGTATTTTGTTCGTTGTGGAAATTAATGTAATAATAATGACAATGGTTAGAATATTGGTGTGTACACTAGTGGAAACGGCAGAACAAAGCTATGGGTCGATTATTTTGATGAAACCTGAATAAAAATGTAGTCAATACAATTCAATTCCAAAAGATTTCTATTCTCAGAAAACATAATGTTATTATATTTCTCAAAGACTTTACTTTCCACAGTTATTTAAATTTTTAATTACATTATTTTGTTCAGAGTTACAAGTATGTGATGACGTTTTGACCAAAATCGCGGAAAATTGAAGAAGAAGAAGAAGAAGAAGAAGGAAATAGTTATATTATTGTTGACACTTTCATAGTATATTGTGTGGCAAGGGCGAGAAGTGAGCTACTTGCGAGGGCCGCATCTCGCCCAAAACTCAAATTGCCTTCCCGCACGAGCCTATCACATACTTTTTTTTGTCATGCCTCTGCGTTCATCGATCACCGTAAAGGTATTGTAGGGATCTAATCAACAACCGGTGCAGGCGTGACAAAAAATAAGTTTTAATTCGTATTTTAACCATCGACATTCAAAAAAAAGACTTGCCCACCAGGAAATAGCCTGAAATAAATCCGAAAGACAATATAATAGTCTCATTAAAACTCGACAAAATGTTTAAGTGGAGGGGAGGGGGATTTGCAAAGTATAATATATTTGGCGGGGCCTAGTTTACCCCCATCTCCGCCCATGGAACCACCGCTTTTGGCTTCCGTTTCCGCCCTCTGATAAGTGTACGATCTATAATATCGCGTAGGTTCTGATGATATACACAACACGCAGCTGTCGTATATAGAGGTACATCAGTAGAGCGGTCGTTCGTATTTGGCTCGGCAGCGACGAAAAAACAACAATCGTTGTAGACGATTTTGGCACGTTCCCATTGTAAATCACCACTCCTACTGCGGGCGGCCGTGTTTCTGTTAATTGCTGGGCGCGTTGTATAATAATATTATGTACAACGTATATATACAGGACTACGAACCATTCATTTGACTTCATTAATTTTCTAAAATAAATAGAAATTTAGTTCAAATAGGTTTAAATTCATTTTTTGTTCCGTAATCGGATGCAGCCGCCGATGCTGGATATTTTTTTATATACACGTTGGTGTATAAATATCAAATATTATATTAATTTAATGAACAGTTTTTATTTGTCTTATGATTATCGTTTTTAAATTTATACCGACAGAGTAATAGATCACGTGTTTGAGGGGATACCCCTAAAATAGCTACCTATTTCATTCAAAAAAGTATTCAGCAGTTTTATGCCACCTATGAAAATTAAACAATATTTTAAAAACTTGAACAACTTCTTCGACAAAAATTAAGTAAAAAATAAGATTTTTTAAAACACGGCTAACAGTTTAAACAAATACTTCGAATTATACATTATAATAACAATAAGTGAAAACACAAAACCTGATAAAAAAAAATACATATCGATGTAATACAATATATAGGTGTTGTCCCTCCCCATCGGAGCCGCTTATTGAACGTGGGTCGAAATAGTTTGAAACATATACCAAAATATAAGCAAATTGAACTTATTTTGACTGATTTCGGGTGTTCGACCTCAGCGATGTGTGTAATAATGTTGCTTCTTGAGAAACGACTGCGACGCGAATGTTATATAATTTATGTAAGACAGCGTTCTTTGTATTTATAGACTATATACGTAAAAGACAGAACTCAAGTTTTATGGAAGCACAATGGCAGTGTACTGTCATATAACATCAACTACTATGCGTGTATATCACGACCCCATGCTCGCGTTTCGAAGAATAAAGCTTATTTTTTTTAAAAAAAAAGACCTCGTTTTATTTAGAGATTTTATATAAGCTTTTTTAGGAATGCGTTCTGCAAAGCACTCGAATGATATCTGATTTTTTGTCCAGAAAATGTTATTATTATGATATTGTATTTTACAGTCTTGTTAAAGATACTTTTTAAAAGAATTCAACTACCCTTATTTTTAAAAGTATTTAAAATACGTATTTGATACCTACTCTGAAAAAAAAGTAAGCTTTTAAATGTATTTATAGATGCTTTTAAATAGTTTTACGTTTTTTATAAATATTTTTTTTCATCAACCTACCTAATAAATCAATCAGATTGATTTTTTTTGTAGCATTTCCATGCTTTATGTAATTTTACAGAGCATGCTCCACACCATAATATATTATTTTAGTATAACTATAAATTGCTAATTTGTTTTCTTTGCTTGTTTATTTAAATTTCAGTTGAGTATATATTATTATAGTTACTATTATAATATAATATTATTAATTATTATTAAGAATATTATATTACACACTCTTTATTTTTTTTATTTTACTTGATTAAGATTAAAATATAAAAGAAAAAGGTATTGAAAATTAGTATTTGATTTTAAATACTGATACTTTGGGAAAGTATTTAAAATTCATATTTGAGTAGGTACTTAAAAAGTATTTGAATACAATAAATTCTTTAGTCTTTTACTCAAGAACCTACTTTACAAGACTGGTATTTAACAACTCTTCAGAATATTGCAGTAGAAATAATTATTAAGCGTGTTATTTTGTATGAGCTTATAATAAGATAAAGGGACATATATTATGATTGAGATTTTATAAATAAACAAAAACCATCACTATTACTGATGAGTGATCGTATTTCAAAACTGTAGTTTAAGGACGTCGAAGCCGGTGAGTTTTTATTACAAAAACATGTCTTCGAGAAAAACTCTTACATCCTGTAAAACCGTCAGATTTTTAAAATTTTTTTTTATTTAAAAAAAGAAAACATTTTTCTGCTCGGATCAAAGTCCGATTTTCAAAATTATAATTATAGAAGCTAAAATATATATTTGAATAATGCACAGCGTTTGTTATTTTTCCAACGTATTTTTCTACCCCCATTTAAAGTAAAATACAAATTCGGGCCTGAAAAATATTATAATATTTTAAATAAAAAAAAAATTATCATAATTCAACATAATATCATTACACCAATTGGGCAAGACGTGAGAATTTTTCTTGTGAAGTAATATTTGTCGAAATAATACTCTGTATTAATCCCCCTCCCCTTCTAAATATGTATCAGGCAGTAGATTAGTGGAAAAGTAATATAAATAAGCTGGTAGCAACTAAAATATAAAATATTTCATAGTACATTATATAGAATTGCTGAAAATTGGAAAAACCGGCCCCGACGACACTGACTGTTAACTGATTTCTTTTGGACAATTATTAAGATAATCGAATAATATATCTAATTTTAACATTTTATTTCTTCTCATCTTGGGTATTGTTAGTGTTAAGCCACTGTCATCGTTTGATTTTTAAATAGCAACGTTTACAGAAGCATCATGTGCTTCAATAAACTTAAAGTGTACAGATCAGTGCCAGATGGGGGGGGGGGGTGCGATTCACCGGTCACTCAAGTTTGAGTTTATTTTAGGGTCCTCCCTCAGGTTATTGACCTAGTTTTTCTAACTTTGTAATTTGATAAATTATGAGGTATATTGAATAATGGTCATGAAGAAAAGTAACTCAAGAAATTACCAGCACCCATTAATTTTAAACTGCTATTGACTCAGTTGTATCTCTACTTGGCATGATCCAAAGGTACCTAACTATTCGAAATGTTTTAATTTTTAATTCCATTCTTTTTTGTACGAAATACCAAAAATTAAATTAATGTACCAGATGACTTATAAATATCATTTTTTTTTTTAAGAGGTTTCCAGTGTTAGTTGTTGCACCCCGGTCTTTTGAGACTTAGATTCGGTACTGGTTAGAATAGTCTTGATATAATATTGTATACATCGTACTTTGCAAGACGAACGATAGTTACCTGTTTTGGGTGACATGTGGTAATAATATCATTCATATACTATTGTCTATGAAACTTTTCGCAAAATGCCAAAATTTCGTGTTTGCACGTTTATATGCAACAATTTAAAATCGTCGAATTATAAAAAAAAAAACCAAAAGTTTAAAAATAAAATAATTATACTACCATATTATATTTTCTTACATCTTAACTATAACTCTTACACGCATTATAATATATTATGCGTATTATAATATAGCAGTCTTCGTATTGGCGTCGCTACAAAGATAATAACGATTTTTACGAACTCGATGTTTACGTCCCGCGTATATACACGTAACTGCAGCCTGCAGTGTTATATTTAATAAATACATTATACTAGTTGTCCGACTGACGTGGGGCTATAAAACGTCTTACCTACCATAATATTGTCGCTCGAGAAAAAAATTAAAAACTCAGTCATTGCGGAGAAATAAAAATCGCGTTTTTGCGTGCCAAAAACCCGTCGAGCGTAATCGTCCGAATCTATGAGAGAAAATGAAAAAAAAATAAACAGCAAATCCTAAAACCGGAATTCGCATGTGTGGAGGGACTTTTCTTAACGTCTTTGTACGTGTTTTCGGACGAATGCATACGAAATTAAAACAACGACGACTGCGAGCAGTACGCCGAGTAAATTATATGCGAACGTTTTTCTCGTCTGTTGGACTGCAAAAAAACTTAAACGTCAACGAGAGTAGGGTGTGGTGGTGTTGGGGAATGGAGTAAAAAAGTACACTGGCGCTTATCGGATGGTTTCGATAGAGAACTGACTTTCCACCGAAGTCCATGTACATTTGAGTACTTAAACGTGCCGGAGCAACAGGCGTTTTCACAAACAAAACGGGGATTTGACAAAACGCGTATTTTCTTTGACATATTATCATACTTTTCCTGCTGACGGTTTTCTTGCCACCGACGGGGATGATGCGCATCAAACCAATAAAATATGCACGACTTCTTCTACTCATGTGCTGCTGATAGTTTTTCGCTTCTGGTCGTATAATATTATATATATATTATATTACACTCTTCTATGTGTGTTTAATAGTAGCGAGTTCGGCGGATTATTCTCGTGAGCGGAAGTATAATATTTTACGACCCGCACGGAGCATTATTATAATATAAGTATGAATAAAATCGTTTTTCCACCTACCGATTTCGCAGACTCTGCCAAAGTCTCTCGGCCGATATTCCATTTCTACGACGCATATTATTGTACACACGTGTATTATATTATATTATATTTTATAAACACGCGACGACGACCCGACAGTAGGTAGTTAAAATATAACCTCGTAGAGTTTTTACGACTATTGTATCATGCAGGCGTATGATATGTTAAAATACAGGGTGATTCATCATGCTTGCAAGCATAATACTCATTACTCATCCCTTTTCTCTTCAATAATGCAGTTATTCAAAATATGGTTTTTTAAATTTTTAAATACTATACTTAAATAACATAATATTTTAAAATTCTTGTGTAGGACTTGTAAGGAGTTTACTGTGTAGATACAAATTTTTGTTTAAAATGTTACTATCCCCCTTTCTACCATAAATTACTTATCTTATAATTTTTTTTTTAAATGTTAACGTGTATAAGTAGATTTTGAGTTATTTCATTTTGTGTACTATAAGGAGTAAGGATAATAAGTCCATGATAATGGGTTTGGAAAATATGAGTTCTATGGTGATTTAAACGTTTAAGTTACTAATATTAATGTATCAACTTTTATGATTTGTAAATATGGTTAAAACATAATAATAAAATATGGAAATAGTTGTTAATATAATTTTTTAATATATTTTCTTAATTTCAGAATGTTCACTAGTACAGTAACTATATTGGTTCGATTGTCAAACATTGTAAATTTACATTTTGAAAAGAAGACTCGATGGTAGTTGTGGCATAGGAACTCGTAGGAAATAATAGGCAGAGTGGAGTGCTTCGTGTACGTCAATTAAAGGTCTCGAAGTCGTTACAATAATATTACATTGTATCATTACCTTGGGGCGAAGACTCATGCAGTCTTGGGTCGCTGTAACCACTGCGCACACTCGACCTGCTGTCGCTGAGATGCTGACCGTGTTGGGCTCCCACGGCCGCGGCCACCAGGGCTTTTTTCCGGATCGACCGGCCACCGCTGGTCCGGGCGCTCTGCGACCGAACGGCCGGTCGACGTCGCTTGTTGTCCTCGGCGGCCGCTATGGCGGCCGCGCCGCCAACGTGCCTGTGTGGAGGAGGCGTGGACGCGGCCGCCTTGGCACAGGCCAACAGGTATTCGGTGCTGCCAGGTGGGAAACCGAACGCGCATATGGACGCCGACCGAGCCTTGTTGTACAGCAGACCGTTTTCCTCGGAAGCCATATTTGTCGTCAGCTGCCCTCGTCGCCGTCAGTAGTCCTCGTCGTCGTCAGCAGTCCTCCTAGTCATCAGCAAGCCTCCTAGTTTTTGAGTGTAAGATGGCAGTTTTCTGCGAAAGACAATATAATATTCAGGTTGGACTACATGGACACACCTACCGAATAATAATAATATTATGTATGTTGCCGAGCTCTAACGTGTTTGAGGAGCATATTTTCAGATGTATGACATAAAAATATTTTAGTTTTATTTAATGATCTTCCCAGGGATAAATGAATCAGAGATGTGAAATCCACCAGCAATATACGGTAATAAGTAACTTATTTCACTTACATACAACCAATCGCAAACATATTGGTACAATTTTAATACTATTAAATATTAATAGCGATCAAGCCACCCTAAAATAGTTGTTAAATCTATTATCTAAACCTTCCTTTTTTCCTTCAACGGTCAAAATCAGTCGGGTATTTGTTGGTTCTTTTTAAGGCTCAGCCATACAATTTGCCTTTAATATTATAATAGGTAACTGTTTACAGAGATAACGTGCAAAATATGGACTTACCTAGTTTAATATTTTATGGTCAAAAACAAGACAATTCCTGGTTTTTGCAATAGAATATTGTTATTTATATATATTTTTTGCTTGATAACAATATTAAATATTATATTTTATGATCAAAAAGTCATGGAAGTCCATGCAAAAATAATGAACATGAAGAGTATTATTAATTATTATTCTCCATGTTGTGAAAATCAGTTCAAAGCATTATCCATAATTAAATATTATACGTGTTGACTATCACTTATACTGGTTACTGGTCTTAAGTCATTAGTTTTTTTTTTTACTTAATATTAAGTAAACACTTGAATATACGTTTACATTTTATAAGCAAAACCGTGTCAAGTCAACATTTTTCAAACTTCAAGAATATATATGCACTAGAAAAACTATATTATATTGAGACATGATAATATGAAAAAAATATGTGTGTACTACTCAATATCATTATATGTTATTAAATCACACTTTTTTTAATTTTCTATTGGCTAAATCCATTCTTCCTTCTCCTGAATAGTTGTCAAAAGTGGACTTAAACCTGGTTGTTGCAGTGAGCCCTTCAATTATAATGATTACTCTTATATGATTTGCTAATCCTTAATAATTCTTGATGTATTTTTGTTATAAGCACAAAAAAATGGATATCGATTCAACAAAAGCTTAAAATTCGACATACCTAAATCCAATATTTTTTAGATTGGTAGTCACTAGTCTGTGTTAATGTATTAACATAAACAATATGTCCAGATTTAAGAAGTGGCAAATTATAAAAATAATATTTATATTTATTGTGTTCATAAGTTTATGATTATAAATTTTGACAATACCGCTGTTTACAATTAATGTGTTTTATTAAATTAAATAAAACTATCATAATATCAGTAAGTGTACTAGTAGTATTTGAACCAATATTAATTTTTAAATATTCTAATAAAGTTTGACCCACATTCATAAATTGAGGCAAGTGAATATTTTTATAAATTATTGATTTTATGTTTATTGAAACATAGTATTTATAAACAGTAATGTACATTTAGAAAATATTTACTTTCCACAATTTATGAATACCTATGAGCAATGTTACTAAATACCCACGGCTATTTGTTTATTATTGTTCTATTCAATTTTCATTAAATATTTTTTTAGTTTTTATTTCGTTTACTTTAACCAATGGCAATCATATAATATTTATGCAAAGTAGGAATATTCGGTTTCAGTTCACCAAAACGAATTCCCTGTGTGAGCCCCTCATACTTATGGTACGAAGATGCCATGACAATTTCAAGTCTCTAATTATCATAGTTTTGGCTCTACGTTGACTGACTATAGTCAGGATATTTTCTTTTAAAAAATACACAAGATATAATAGGTAGTTAGATATTATACTTATCACTTATAATAATAAGGGAAACTTTAAAATGTACGATATGTCATTATGTTATATAAATTTATTGCGCGATATTAATGTTGATATAATAGTCAACACTTCATCTCCACCACACACACAAAAAGACACATATTACGTATTCGCTCCGTTGATATACTCGTAGATATACAATTTTGGATCTCGATTCGATGTTCATCAGTGATGAAATCATGATGAATGATGATCAAAATCAGATGAATCATCACTATAAAACAATATATCCAAATATCTCAACACTATTACCTATGCTATAGTATATTATTTATATATTATTATGGAATTTGATCAATTTGACATAGTTATTGAGTTGTTATTCCATATGCATGTCAGGCGTAAATATTTTTTCTTTACTGGGTCTCAAGTTTATGAATTATAAAAAAATGATATTACCATAGGTGGATACATAATAAAATCGTTGGTTATGGGCTGAATATTATGTAGGTAGGTGGTTTTGTGGAGAGTAAAATAGCCAATATGTTTGAAAATAGAAACGGTATCGCTGCCGGGGATAAATAATTGATGATTCGAATTCGTCTACAGCCGCTTAAAGACGTCGTAAAATATATATATGGACCACTGAAAAATATTGTTACGTGACGTATTGCGATCAATTATCGTGCATAGTGTATAAGATGTTCGCTTTGACGGATAATAAATTCTAAAAAAAGCAATAAAACGTCAAGACTTAAAAACTAGATGTATAGAGAGAGAAAATGAGAGTACATATTAACAAATAAGTATTAATGGTATCATAGAGAGAAATAAAACATATTTATTATTATTATGTTAGTCTGCTTCAGCGTGTTTACAATATTAAACTAAATCAGCGATCGAAGCTCGTGAAATAGGATTGATTTGAATAAACGATAATTCAAAAGGGAATCATAAACATTGATTACTGTTAAGTGATGAAAAACGTTAACAGTCTACCTATTATTATGTTTGCAAACGTTTGATCCCATATCGTCGTTTACTCGTTTCTTTAGTTAACATATATTTTTTATGTTCAGCTGCGTTTTGTTAATTTTTTTGACAGCCATATTGTGACTATACAGTTAGATTTATTATGCGATTCGACGAAAACTCTATTGATTATCATGATATGGGTAATATAATAATACTCTATTATATTATTATAATAATATAGGACGTTATTATGTCATATTATGTAAACAAGTTCACTGCGAGCGTTTCTAAGTGTATTTTATAATGCAACGAAATAATAAACTACAAGAAAATTTCATACTCCATACTTCAGAACCTTTATATTTTTTTACCTACTTTTTAATATTGGCTAGTATGGATCTATTTTAATTACCTGCTCATATTTTGATGTTTTTAATACAGCCTATTATGAATTTATTTTGAATAGAACCGTTATCAAACTATTTATTCATTCAACTGTAGACTGTAGTATTAAAATATTTAAATTAATAAAAGACTCTAGCGAAGTGTATTTCAATTTTTTTGATTTTAATTGTGAATAATAATATTAAAATGGAAAAATTAATATCAATAATCGTAACTATGTACTGATAATTAACGGACCTACGGATGGACACACATGGGTATACGATGTTCTAAATTTACTTAATTATGTTTAAAAACCTAAAACGAATACTTAGGGGTATGCTATACAAAATAGTAAAATATTTAATATGCAATTATTTGTGTTAAAATATGTAATAAAATATATAAATTATCAATACTTTCCAAACTATCAGATAGAGAAGCATCTTATAATGATAAAACAAAATTAAAAAAAGATACTTAAACTAATAACCTAAATATTTTTTTCTACTCTTACTAGTTACTTTTAATTTTAAAATACATCTACAGCATATTTAAGTATTTTACGTTAAAGACAAAATCACTGGTTACATGAAATTGTAATTATAAGTACGTAATTTGACGTAAAATCAAGCATTTGACACTATACTTTCATTGAAATATAATATAAAACATGAAATGTTCGTATTTATATATTTTTAAATATAGAAAAATATTGAAAATAAAGAATACCTATGTGTATCAAACATGAGGTGATTTTTAGTAATTACTTATCACATTTTTAAAAGGACTCTTTTGAATATAAACACATAAGTAGGTTCCAATAAAATAATATAAACCTCAGCCCAACTACTCATATTGTTTTGCAGTTATGTTTATTATGCTAGTTTGTCAAGCCAACATTTTGACCGTGTACCGTGTAATATTATCATTTAAGATGACGGACGGTACTTGTACGTTTGTTTGGCATCTGTCGACCGACTTTTATAAATTATTATGCGAAACATCAGCTATATAGCTACGTCCGCGTAAGTCAAACCTAAGTTTCACCAATTTAATGTATTTTATTTATTTTTGTCGATTTTTGAATGTAGTTGCAGCAATAATCATCTCGTTAAATTCCCTATGTTGGCCGTTCGTCACGAATAATACGCAATATTTTTTTTATGTTGTTGCGTTTTTTGCAAGTCGTCATAAAAATGTTAAGTTTACGTCATAGTTTTGCATTTGACTTACCAAAGTCATTTTTTTCTAATTTTTTTTTTAATTGTTAGAACGGTTTTCTGTAATATTTATAACTATGTTTACGCGTATTATTGGCTATCGGAGCACGTTTACGATGGTTTTCTGTCACAACCGCGCCATGGCCCATGACCACACGAATATTATTTTGTTTTCGTGTTTTTTTATTTTAGCCAATGCAAAGTTTAGTACCTATATAGTTTGTTATTAAATATAACCAATAATATCGATATGGTTGAAATTCGCTTAGTCGAACATTTAACATATTTTATACTCAATAGTTAATATTATTATCGACAGTGTCGGCTACAACTGCGTGTAAATATTGTACTTTGTTCGACAACACTTGGTTATTTTTTTTTTTCAATACAGAAAACGAAAAGAATTTTGAAAACTATTTTTATGCGTGAAGAAACTGTGTGGGATTGAAAATATTCGGTGCTCACTATGTGCGTTGTCAACAAAATATTATTTAGAAATCCC